GTGTTTGGCCTGGGAGGGGGCATCCCCAGATCCTCCCTGGCAGGCTGGATTTGGAAGTCTGAGTGCACCCACATCTCTGACTGCTCAGCCAACAGGGCTCAGGCCTTAGGAAGCCTATAGCCCCCTTCCTGTTTCTTGGGACACTTACTCTTGAATCCCAGCCCCCATGCAGGAAGGATGCTGAAGCCCCATGTGTTCCGACTGAGCACCCCAGCTGAGGCCCCAGACAGCTGGTGAGTGGACACGCCCATGGAAGATTCCAGTCCCAGCCTCTGCTAACTGCACGAGTAGGGGAGAAGTGCCCGCAAGAACCAACAGAAACAGGAGCGTGAACGGTAACATGGCAGCTGCGGCTTTCGGCCACTGAGTCAGGGTGGCTCACTATCTGGCAGTGGATGAATGGGACACTTGGGGAACCAACTGCTGAGGAATGAACTCATGAAGCACACTCGTTCCTAACCACTATCCCCCAACTGAGGATGGTCTGCCTGGTAATGAGGGCTCCTTTGTGACATCCCAGCCTGATTCTGCTCAGCCTCTTTTGGGTACAGGAAGGCCGCCGCTCCAGTAGTTAAGGCTGATTGGTGTTTTCTCTGGTAACTTAGCTGTCCCAGCCACTGAAAACCGTGGGTCTCATCAGAGCCCTATGTAAAAGCAGCAGATGCAGGCCTCAGAGGGGACATGTTCGTAATGGTGTTGTTCTTGTCTAGCTGTTCCCTTTCCCTTCCCACACCCCAGAGAGGCACCCTGCTGCTCGTGAGGTCAATGCAGTCAATGCATCACGGACAGCGAGGTGTGTCCCCTCCAGATCAGATGTGGTGTTGCTGGCACAAGCCCCTGGGCATCCCTTCCCTCCCAGAGACTTGGAAGTGTGACCCTGTCGACACTTCATTTCTTGAATGTGACCTCTCTCTGTTCTTTCCTTTTGATTCAGACTGGCCTCATATAGCACCTGCCTCACCTGCCTCCTCTCCCTCCCATGACCACTCCTTCAGTAGTAAGCCCTCAGGACGAGAAGGTTCTGATGGGCATCCAATCACCTTAGGAGCAAAGCCTCAGGCCAGTTGACCGCAGAGACAGAGTTTCAGTCAAACTAGAGATGACATCTAGGCCTCAGTTGTGTTTTAGCTCCAGGCTCTGAAAAGCAGCCAAATGATGCCATAGCTGACCTCGGGACCAGCTGCACTGATCAGCTACCCCCTACCCTAGGGCTGACCAATCAGTAGTGACCATGACCCTGACCATGGCTCTAACTCTCTCAGTCACCATGAGTAATGACTTTCCCCTATATAACCTGTGCCCTGGAGGCCACTGGGGAGCCAGGCCTTTGAGCATTATTAGCTCACCTGTCTCCAGGTGTGGGCCCCTTCCTGAAAATAAACCCTTGCTTTCTTTGCTGCAAACTCCTGTTTGTGTCTTATTGGGCTTTGATGTGTGCAGGCAAACGGACCCCTTATTCCAGTGACAGAGGCGTGTGTTGGCACAGACTGCTCCACAGCCTCCACTGTGCAAAGCCCCTGCCTATCTCACTGCACATGCAAGGAATAAATCAGGTGGTTTGAGCCTTTGAGACTGGTAGGGAGAGGGGGGTTGTCATGGACTGAATGTTCATGTGCCCCCAAAGTCCATGTAACCAGAGCCTTAACCTCCCATGTGGTTGTATTTGAAGATGGGCCTCTAAAGAAGTGATTAGAGCCCAGCCAGTGTGGCTCAGAGGTTGAGCGTTGACCTATGAACCAGGAGATCGAGGTTTGATTCCCGGTCAGGGCACATGCCCGGGTTGTGGGCTCAACCCCCAGTAGGGTATGTGTGGGAGGCAGCTAATCAATGACTCTCTCATCACTGATCTCTCTCTCTCTCTCTCCCTCTCTCTAAGATCAATGAAAACATTAAAAAAAAAAAGTAATTAGGGGGCGAGGTCTTAAGGGTTGGGCCCTGATCCCATAGGGTTAGTGTCCTTACAAGAGACATCAGAGCTCACTCTCATCTCCTCTCCTTCTCTCTGTACATGAACCAAGAAAAGGCCATGTGAGGACACAGGGAGGAGGCGGCCATCTGCAGGCCAGTAAAAGGGCCCTCACCAGAAACCAAATGGGCCAGCACCTTGATGTTGAACTTCTACCCTCCAGAACTGTGAGATAGAAATGGCTGTTGCATTTGCTATGGCCGCCTGAACTGACTGAGGGGCTGTTTGCTTCAGCAGCATAACCTCACTGATCCTAAATGTTATAACAGCAACAGAAGTTCATGCTTCTCAAGTGGAGAAGGCAAGTGTAGGGGTGAGCCATTTGGGCTGCAAGGGCAATGCTGCAGGAAGGAGGAACATCAGGCGCTAAAGCCCCTTGGTGAGGCAGGGATTTCAAGAAACAGCAAGAAAGAGGGTTTCTCTCTCTTCCCAGCACAAGTTGGAATTGGTTTAGTGGGAATTTGGGGCCCCCTCCCTCACCCCCTTCTCATCTGTGACTGGGTGAAGCCACTGTGCTCTGAAATGTCTGTGGGAAGACACAGCTCTCTCCCTGCTCCTCGGTGGGGTCATCTCCCAGTCCAGCTGAGACGCCCAGGCCACAGCCCAGCCAGGGGTCCAGCATGCTGCACTGCCGAGGCCTCTTGCCCCCGCTCTCCTGGGCAATGGCTCTGCGTCCAGGCTGTACCCTTCCAGCTAGGCACCATAGTCTTGCCTGTCCTCCTGGCCCCTGCCCCTGCAACCCCCTTGTGGCCATCTGGACACCTATCTCTGTAACTTTCAGGTCCTGAGAGATGGAGTGGAATGGGGCTGGCCTCTATTTGTCAGTTCACCCAAACCTCCTGTTTTCTGATCCAGCAGCCCAGGGTCAGGCACCTGGGACAAAACACCGCCCTCCCCTTGAAGGCATCCACAAACCCTCATGGAAGACGTCTTGCCCCCCAGATTCCCACCACTTCCTCCCAACGAGGGCTGGGCCTGGCGGGGCTTGCTCACACCGAGCACTGAGGACGAGGGCAACTCAGAGCCTTTTCTCATCAGCGCTGACCCCTGGCAGAGTGGCTGAGCCCTGTAAGGAGCCAATCAGTTTATGACAGTTTTGACAGCCATGTATGCCACCCTCTACAAGGTCAAGAAAGCAGGGTTGGCTGTCCACCTCTGCCTGGCTCGCAAGACCCTTCTAGACATGTGGCTAAGGAGCCTTGCTTGCCTCTGGGACAAGCTGGGAGAGCCGGGTCTGTGGGGACCCCGGGATGCGAACCCTGTGCTGCTCTGATGAGGGAGCTCTGACCTGCCAACATGGAGTGCCAGCTGGGCCCGTCTCCGGGAGCCTGAGGGAAAGCCACTGCATGCCTGAGCAAGCGCCACACCCACTCTCTGGCCTCAGGATCCCACTTTGGAACCCATCCAACAGAACACCACCCCACAACAGAAAGGAGGTCAGCACCAAGCATAACAGCTGAACACATGGAGACACCCAGGGGCCCCTGAGGGCATCCTCATGGATCCCAGGGCAGATGGCTGCTCCATGCAGCCTGTGTCAGAGCGTGCTTCTCAGTGATGGAAAACATGACAAATGTGGCTTCGGGGGCAGTGCAGGCTCCTGTAGGACTGCCCGCTGTCTTCATCAGACTCCCCTCCACTGGCCCCCGGACGGCTGCGAGAAGCCTCCAGGCAGTGGCCTCATAGGGCCATTCAGAGAGTCAGCTCTAGTCAGTGCAGCTCCAGGCAGGAAACAGGGAAGGTCAGGGGGCAAACCTTAGTGAGTTTCCTCAATGGCCGGACAGGTGACACCCCAAAGAGCAGAAGGCTGGGTGTCAGATTTTACTGGCCTAGGAAAGATGTGGGCTCTGCTGGTGAGAGATGTGGAGGGTGGGGCCATTCAGAAGAAGAGGGTGTGTATTGAGCTCCAAGGTCACCTTAGATGAAGCAAATGTCTAGAGTCACACCTGAGGGCTCCCACCAACCATCCCCTTGGGACTAGGGGGCAAGATATGTGGTGTCTTTTTATCTAACTGCTTTGACAGGGACCGCGATGGCTCTAAAGGGCCTGGTGGAGCCCGTGACCGGTACTCCCTTCAGCCAAAAGTGGGGTCTGTCTCCCATGTTGACCAGCAGTGAACCAGCACGACTTCCTGGGCCTTGAAAGGCACGGCTCGCACATGGTACGCTCACCATGAAAACCAACTGCCCTGTGTGAGGAGGCCCAGGTCACTCGAGGTGCCGCCACCCCATGAAGTCTCTGCTTACAGCCAGCCAGCCACCAGCCAGCCGGCCTTTCACATGACCGAAGCCACCAGCAGCTGACTGCAGCCACCACGGGAGAGGCTCCCTACAAGAGGTACCCTGCTGAGCCCTGGCTGCCCTAGTGGTAATAAAAAGGGACTGTAGTTTTAGACCACTCTACTTGAGGTTTTGTTTTGCAGGGATTGAAAACTGAGCCAGTGACTTTACTTTTGCAATTTTCAGCATCAGAATTGTTTACTTCACGCTCCTCACCCCAACTTTACAGATACTGGATGGCGCACTTGGCTGGGTCCCCGCAACTTTACAGATACTGGATGGAGCACTCGGCTGGGTCCCCGCAACTTTACAGATACTGGATGGAGCACTAGGCTGGGTCCCTGCCCTCAGGCAGCCGGCCCTGCAGAGGAAGATTCATCTCTGTGATTGCTGAGAATTTGGCTGTGCTCTTCCTCCTTCCTCTAAGCAAAACTAGATGTGCTTAAAATGTCCCCAGTCTCTTTAAAGGTACCTGGCTGGAGTGGGGCTGCACCCGCATCTGTAAACCTCAGAGGTGGTTTCAAGGAAGCCCACCTATAAAAGTTGCTACAGCTGAGCTCCAAGGGCAGGACACTCCCAGCCTTCAGAGACAGGCATATACCCTTAAGAATCCCTAAACCCAGACGCTTACTTCACTGACCAATCTTGAGCTGGACACATGTCGAGACATAGGTGGCCAGCTGATGGGTTGGCCTGGTCCCCTCAGTGTGGAGGGCAGCTCTGGCCTGGCCCTTGGCCATCCTGGGACACAGACCGTGGGCTGCCTGGGCGTTCCAGCAGTGGGCCTGGGGGCAGGCAGGGTCTGCCCTGGGTTCACTGTGCACCATCACCTGGGCCCAAGGTGAACAGGCGGCACTGCTGCAGATCCGGGGGTCCTTGTTCACGCTGCAGGACAAACCAGCCAGTTCTCTGGTGCGCTCACCAAGGTCTCTGCAGAGAGAGGAAGTGTAGGCTGCTGAAAGAGCCAGGAATCCATTTAACTCCAATTGGGCACCAGTTCTCCCTAGTCATGGCCTTCAGTGGGCCTGGGCAGACCACTGCCCCAAGGTTGGGGAACCCCATTTCTCCTGCTGGAGCTGCCCTGAACCTGAGGCCCCTCCATCAGTGCCTTGCCTTGAGCCTCAGGCCCCTCAGTTGTATGAGGGGAATGATCCAAAGAGAGGCCCAGGTCTTGGGGACCTTGCATCTATCAAGCTGTTCCAAGGGTTGGGGGTGGTGGTGTCCCAAGGCTGCGTCAAGGAAGGGACTTATTCAGAGTATGCCACCAGGGTAAGGCTGCCTCCCGAGGCTAGGACACTCCACGGCTGTCCAAGGAGACACCTCTGCTCCTGCCAGGTGGTCTAGGGACCAGATCAACTACCTTCTACATCTTCTGTTTCCTTGTGGTTCCCCTACCCCCAAACCATAAACCAACCCATTCTTCAGGCTGATAAAACCTTGGCCTGACCGTCACCTGGCTCATCCTGTCTCCCCCTTACACTGGCCTCTGCTCCCTGAAAGCTGCCAGGCTGCTCCACCTCCAGCCTTTTGCAGGGCTGTTTCTCCCCTTAAGATGCTGTCTCTCTCTTTCCCCAAAATTCAGGCTTTCCCAATCTGTTCACTTCAGGCACCATCTCCTCCAGGAAGCCTTCCTGGTTCTCTATTCCCACCCACAGCTAATTCCCAAAAAAGCTCTGGGAAGTAGCAGGAATTAAGAAGTTATCTGGCCTGGCCGGGTGTGGCTCAGCGGTTGAGCGTCGACCTAGGATCTGGGCAATCAGGGTTCGATTCCCGGTCAGGGCACATGCCCGGATTGTGGGCCCAATCAATGACTCTCTCATCATTGATGTTTCCATCTCTCTCTCCCTCTCCTTTCCTCTCTCTGAAATCAATAAAGATATATTAAAAAAAAAAAAAAGTTATCTGTTGGTTTGATGGATAAGTGAATGAATCAATTAATCAACTGGTGAAGAGGAAAGACAGCTTAGTGGGCAAGTCCAGGCACTTTGGAGCCAAACAGCCTGAGTTCAAACATAGCTTCATGCTTAAGCTGTGCGTGATTCTGGAAAAGTTTCTTAAAATGGAATAAGAGCAGTGCTTACCCCTAAGTTAGAACAGAGAATATCTGAAACAGCTTAGGACAGTGCCTGGCACATTTTGAGTCCTGGGAAGTATTTATGAAGTAAAAGCAAGGTTGAGGCAAACCTCACCTTGCTGATGACAATTTCACCACGGATTAGTGGGAGAATAGAGTACCTGGGCCTTAGCTAGGATGGCACAGAGGCCCCTGGGCTGCAGTCAGAGGGTCCCTGCCTGGGAGCCAGAGGCCCCGGGGCTCGGGGAGCTTGCTTCCTTCATCAAGCTGCGAGGTCCTGGGCAGGAGCCACCTTCCCTGGATCCCCATTGAGCTGGGCTCAGAGCTGGGGCCTGGGGGATATGTGGGAGAGCTCAGGGGAGGGGCTCTGACCCCAATGCTCCTCCAGCCTCACCTCCTACTTCTTGCCTTCAGCTGCACTGACTAGAGCTGACACTGAGTGCCCCCCACCTCTGAGGAGGTGGCCACACAGTTCCCTACACAGCTCTGTGCTGACCATCAGAGGGAGAAAGAACAAGTCCCTCAGGTCGAAGAGCAGGCGCCTGTGGGGCAGGCACAGGCTCCCAGCAGCACCCCTCCCCGGGGGATCCAAAGCTTCACTGCAGCCAACGAAGCCCCTGCAGCAGCAGCACCGGCCTTGTCAGGACACCATGCACTTTCCCCATCCTGCTGGTGCTCTTCCCAACCGAGACCCAGGACAACCCGCACGGCCCACACTGGGGAGGGGCTGCCATCGGGGGCTGAAAGGAAATCTGTGTGAGGAGGAGAGGCGCGAGCAGGAACACCCCAACATGACTGAAACGAGGAGGAAGGTGCTTGCGCCAGCCCTGAGTAAGGCTCGCTTCCACGTGGTGCAGAGAGCTCCTTGCGTTTATGAGAAAACCTCAGCAGGCCATTCAGCAGAGCAAATGGAAATGGCTAAAACCAGGAATGCGACTGTAAGCAAAGGGCTGGGGAAAAGCTCTTCCTCACTGTTAATCAGAAGGATGATGAAATGCTGATGAAGCCACTGGTGTGAGTGACACCTGCCGTGTCAACCGGGAGAAACAGCATCACTCTGAGTGACGTGCGGCTGTGGACCGCCTCCACTCCCTTGTGTCGGGTCCCTGGACAAAGAACTTGGTAATAAAAATATTGAGACTACTTGGCCTAAAGAGCCTGTTCCTGGGATCACCCCAAAATGTCATCTCAAAAAAGAAAAGCAGTCTGGCTGGTGTGGCTCGGGCTGAGCATCAAACTATTAACGGAGGTCACAGTTCGATTCCCGGTCAGGGCACAGGCCCGGGTTGTGGGCTCGATCCCCAGCAGGGGGCGCACAGGAGGCAGCCGATCAATGACTCTCATCATTGACGTTTCTATCTCTCTCCCCCTCTCCCTTCCTCTCTCTGAAATCAATAAAAGTATATTTAAAAAAAAGGAAAGCAGCTCTAAGCACCAACATCTGCTCAAACCTGAGCACAGTCAGGGAGGGTCCCACAAGTACTGGAGGGTCTGGAGCAAGGCTCTGGGGTCTCTGACCACCAGGGAAGCATGGTGACCTGTCACATCACATGCAAAGTGCTTGAAGCAGCGTGACTGCTGTGGCCACCAAGAGGCAGGCCCAATGTCTGAGGCTCAGGGGAGGGAGATGGGGATCAGCGCCTCCTGCAGGGCATGCCGAGTGCTGTATGCAGACCTGGGACCAGGCAGGCCAACGCCAGGCCCCCCGTGTCTGTTTCCTCACTTGTGCAGCAAGAACAAGAGCAGAATTAATAACTGCGGCTGGCGCTCACTACACCCTCACCAGACCCCAATCTCAACAGGGGTGGGGGTTGAGCACTGCCAAGGTCCTCGCCGTACAAATGAGGAAACTGAGGCAGGCGTGGTCTCCCACCCTGGAGCAAGCACCTGGCTCCTGGGAGGGTTTCTGGGGGACAGGTCCTCTGCCTCCATAAGGCAGTCTGGTTTCTGAGCACTGCCCTCCACCCAACTCGTGAAGGGGCGGCCAGCCTAGACCCGGGCAGAGAACGCACTGGCCGGGCTGGGTTGTGTTGGGAGAAAGGAGCAAGAGGGCATGAGCGGGTGCAGCCAGCCTGGTAGGGCTCCACCAGGGAAGGGCAGGGGCCCACAGGAATTACATCCAGGCGATGCGGGGACAGTGACTGCTGAGGACGAGGCGGGACAGGAGACCTGACACACTAGGCTCTGCTCCCGGGCATTCATGAAATTTCCCCAAAATGAAGCTTTAGAGAAGAATACCCCTGAGTTCATAGTGATACAAAAACAACAGCAAAGTAAAATGAAAAGGGAAGAAAAACAGAGCCCATCCTCATTCCTCAGAGGAAAAAATGACAGAACAACAGAATTAAAGTCACTATTTCATAAGCCCAGGGGAAAGAAAGGATTCCAGCAGGATTCCCTGGACTCCGAGGCCCGAGAAAGAGGCCGTGGGGCAGCAGTGACCCCCTTCAGAGTCCCTTTTTCATCAGCTGACCTGAACTTGCCTTGGCCAAAAGACCCCAGGCTGCACGCCGTGGGGGCATCTGACCCACACCAGCACCACCTACGGCACCTGCGACAGACACCGCCAGAGTGCCAATGCCCAGCAGTCCAGAACATGGTCTCTGTGGGGGACTGCTGGCCACCAAGACAAAAAGCCTGCCCCCATTTAAGGAGCCTAGAGACCTGGCTGCTGGTGCCAGGGGCATCTGGGGTGAGAGGGTGCACACTCAAAGCTGGTAACGACACTGGGAGACGCGTCACAGTCCACATTCAGCCAGATTCGATTCCCTGAGCCAGAAAAGGGTGCATAAGAGAATATCCTGTGTGTGCTGAAAGGGAGCAGGGCGGGGGGAGGACAGAGCGAGTCCACAAGCACTGTGGAGCCCCGCTGGGTCTGGGTGAAGGGAATACTCATGCTCAGAAGCTTCACCTTCTCCATAAGTTTGAATTCTCAAGATAAAGTCATTGGGGGGTGGCTCTGGGTGCTAGGGTGTGGGGTCAGGACTGGGTGCTAACAGGACCATCAGCCTGTCTTTGGGCCAGGACTTCAAGCCCAGATGAGCCTGCACAGCGTGTGGAGGCAGCCAGTGCCTCCGGGGTCCTGGTTCTCTGGTCCTGTCCTGACCAAACCAGGGCTCCACCCTCATCCCCTGCCCTCCTGCCCCCTGCCCCCAGGCCCATGCCCACGTGGTGAAGCTGTGGTTGTCATGTGCCTGGCCAGGCTGGCTCCTGGGTTCCACGCCGCTGTTGTTACTCAAGCCCCTGAGGCCCAGGTAGGGAGCCTGCAGAGTGTCCAGGTCTTCACCCCTGGGCTGGAGCCACAGCTGGGCAGTTCTGTGGAGAGAAGAGATGCGGAGGACATTCAGCTGTGCAAGTGTCCAGGCTGCCACCCTGAGCAGCTGCATGCTCGACTGTGAGCATTTCACGGCCCTGTCGCCACTCCTCAGCTCTGCTGCTAGAGGGTGGAAGCAGTCACCGGTGATCAGAAAATACCAGAACGCTCTACTGCAAAGGCAGGCAGCGGAAAGTTTTAGAGATGAATCACATCAATGGCAGCAGTGTTGTGAATGGAACTAATGCCCCTGAATTCTAGTCTTAAAGATAGTTAAAATGGTAACTTTATGTTATAAACATTTTACCACAATTTATTTACTTTTTTAATATGTCTTTATTGATTTCAGAGAGAGGAAGGGAAAGGGAGAGAGAGAAACATCAATGATGAGAGACTCATTGATCGGCTGCCTCCTGCACGCCCCCTGCTGGGGATCAAGCCCGCAACCCAGGCATGTGCCTTGACCAGGAATCGAACCAAAATCTCCTGGATCCTAGGTCGATGCTCAACCGCTGAGCCACGCCAGCAGGGCATTTTCTTACAATTAAAAAAAATACAGTCAAACCTCAGTTCTCGAATATCTCCCACCTCGAACAATTCAGTTCTCTACTAAGTTGTTCTTGGAAAAAATGCCTCGGTTATTGAACAAAACTTTGGTTCTCGACCTGACAACCCTTTCAAGCTGATACTTATATGATCAGTCACGTGTGTCTCAGGTGACAAAGAAAATGAGCCGTAGAGTCAGTTTACTGCTAACGCTTGCATTATTAACACTTCAGGAAATTTTGCTGTGAATATTTCTGTGTGCTTTTGCTTTTGTTGCTCCGTATTATTATTAAATATATACAGTAAGTCATCCTGGGTCCTAAGAAGGTTAATGATAGCTACAAAGTGCTAAGGAAAGTTGGAAGAACAATGATAGATTTTAAAAAAGAAATAATCGCAAAGGATGGTAGAGGTGTTCACCTGTCTGACTTGGCTACAGAGTATGGCGTGGGGAAATCAATGATTAGCACAATTTTAAAACATCAAGAGGCCACCAATGTGCTGAGGTTGCTAAGGGTGTGAAGGTGCTCACAAAACAACAATCACAGGCAATTAAGAGAGGTTAACACAGGGGAATCATTTAGGGGTCTGAAGCGGGTTAATTAAATTTACATTATTTCTCATGGGGAGAAATGATTTGGTTTACGAACAAATCACTTCTCAAACAGCCTTCTGGAAGGAATAAGTTCAAGAACAGAGGTTCCCCTGTACTCCAACAAAGGACACACTACAGTGAAAAGGCAGCTGGTGGAGCCAGAGTCCACCTGTGGGCTGTAGATAACCATAACCCCGCAGCCCTGCACACCCAACACGCAGAGCACACACTGCGCGCAGGTAGACAGCACTGCAGGGTGACAAAATCCCATTGTACCTGCAGCTCAGTGCCCTCCAGGGCCGCGATGCTCCATGACCAGAATGCCAAGCCCCACTGCAGTGGGGAGACCCTGACTGACCTTGTCTGCAGCCATCCTGAGCTGTGAGGGCAGCTCCTGGCAGGGTGACCACGCTGCTCATTCCCCTGGACACCCTTAGGAGGCCTGGAATGGCCTCAGGTGTTGGCACCCCTTGGGTGGTGCTCCTGGCTCCAGGGAGTGGTCAGGCCTCAAGGCCATAGGCTTACCTCCAGCAACGATGTTGTGTCCACCATACCTGTCAAAGCGCCGCTGCTCGGTCCTCTTCAAGCACTTCAAGAGGCAGCAGGTGAGGAAGGCCATGGACATGAGCAGGATGATGGCACAGCTGACGATGGAGGCGATCACAGCCACCCTGAAGCCGAAGGTCTCCTGGGGCATCACGGCTATGACAGAGACAAGACCAGCTCTTGGGCGTGGCTCAGGTACAGCGGGGTCACCCAGTCTGCCCTTAGTGAGCCCCATTCTACAGGGGAGGCAGGGAGGTGCAGGCTGCTAAGGTAAAGGTCTGTGCAAACTATTGTAGGAGTGAGGCTATCAGGGAAGACTGCCTCCCAGGAAGGAGGTGTTTGAATAGGGTTTTGGAGTGTGTGTAAGAGTCCATGGTGGCACACTGGGGGAAGCTCTGACAGGGGCTCAGTGAGGCCCCACTGGCTCTCACCCACTGCAGCCTGGGCCCCTAAGGCCAGATGACAGCAGAGAGCTCTTGGTCTCTTTTCGCAGTGCCTCAAACTAGCAAAACTCTTCAGGGGTCACTTTAAAGGAGGCAAAAAGCAGGGAAAATTGCGATGTTTGGGGTCAAAGGGCCTTTACCACATATCAGCAATGTGACCTCAGCTATGGGTCAAGAACTAGTTCTTTCAGGGTGTTCTGGGAAAACAAGGCCCAGGATCCTAACTTGATCAATGTCACCTGCTTTCCCCTATAGCAGACACTGCTCACATCCCTAGCACTCTGCCCTAGCTGGACGCTGGCCATTCAGACTGAAGACTATATCTCCCAGCCTCCTTTGCAGCTGCATGTGGTCACATGGCCATGTTCTGGCCCGTAGGGAATAAGAGGAAGGGGTACAAGACAACTTCTAAGAGCTTTCTTTGCTCTGCCCCATAACAACTGCCTAGAACACAGTTGCCACTATCCTGGATCATATAGTTGAGGTCAAACCTAACAGAGCCACAACATGGAAGGGGCCTGGGTCCCCAATGTGAGGCACCATATGCACCTACGGCTGCCCAATCTGAGGGCTATGGATAAGAGAAATCTCCCATAGCCATGTTATTTCATTTAACTTCTGTTATCCTGGGTTTTGTATTTCTAAGAATCTAATCTACCTAACAGATACCCTCCTTCTCAGAGATTCACCCAGCACATGAGTGTTTTAAAGGCTCTGAGAAGTCCTGCAGTCTATTAACGTGGCCTTTTCCTAAATGTCTTGACTACTGAGCCCTTTTTTTCACACAATACATGTGGCCTCCCTTTGAAAACTGATGTGCTGGGTATTATCCTTAACATTCTGTACTACAAATACAAATAGAAAACCATCTCCTCCCCTAGACTGAGGATCCAGGGCCGGATGCATCCTGGCCCTCAGTGTCCCCAGTTCTAGAATTCTTGCCATATGTAATATCCTATTAAGGCTTGCCACGTGCATGCTTAGAAATTGAATGAGTGAACAAATGTGGAACAGGTAAGTGCTAGCTCAGGCAGCACAAGTAACCTCTCGGAAGTGGCAGGCCAAGTCGGTGGCAGATCTAGGATTTGTCGCAGCTGGTAAGACTTGAATTCACTATGGACGTGAAGCGACCAGGGGCCACCAGCACTGGGAGCAGGACCCTACACAGAGGCCCAGCCAGGACTTGGCATCTACTGCACCTTCTCTGTGGACACCATGTTGTCAACATGACAGCATCAGGCTCCCTCCCACCCAGGGCAACAGCTTATCTGGAGGCAGCTCAGGGAAGCAGGCCTCACACTTGCACACAGGGGTCCCTGAAGACCACTTGGCGATGCTCCCCTTCCAGGTACAGGTGAGGAGGCCGGATCCCATCATCTGGTGTCCTAAGGGGCAGTGGAACACGATGACAGACCCCACAGAAGTGCCATCACCGCGAAGGACTTGGAGGGTACCCCTTGGGGGCGGCTGCACTTGGGTGCACATGCCTAGGGAGAGAGAGGGGAGACAGCATGAGGACCCCATTCTGGAAGGCAGGGGCTCGGCAGGAGCCTCAGCCTGGGACGGGCACTGCTGCCCCGGTGGCTGTGCGGTTGGTGCTCTGGAGATCATCCAGCCACCCAGACCAGGAGTGGCATCCACAGAGCCAGTGGCGTAGGAAGAAATGCAGAACTGATCCCTACATTAAGTAAACTCTCAATGTTCTGAGGACCACAGTGTTGGAAAAAGAAACATGCTGGAATATTACTCAGCAATAAAAACGATAAAATCTTGCCACTTGCAATAACACAGATGGATCTAGAGAGGATTATGTTAAATGATATAAGTCAGGTAGAGAAAGACAAATACCATATGATTTTTCTTATATGTGAATCTAAAAAACAAAACAAATTAATAAATGAAAAACAGAAATAGACCTACAGATACAGAGAACAAGCTGATGGTGGCCAAAGGGGAGAGGGGTGGGAAGATGGGTGAATTCTTTTTTTTTAAAAAAGAGACAAATTGATGTTAAAAAAAATAATTCTGAGCACAAACCTACTAATCAAACAGTTGATTTTATAGTTATAGGGGAAAATTAAAAAATAAAATGCATGTGCAAAGCTTGGCACACAGAGAAAAGGAAAAGAGAAGAGAAACACGTATCAGGAGAGAATGAAGGCAAACGTCCAACGGTAGCAAATACTCAGGATCAGGAGCTCACGTCCAGGCTGCTTACCAAGTGCTATTCTTGCTAAATGTTAAAAGGTAGCACAATATTTTGCAGACCAGCTGTAAACAGAGTGGCCTTTTCAGGAACCCAACCAGATAAGTGTACCAACTGTAAAGAAGAAATCAAAGCGTAATTAACCAATTAGTGAATGTCAGCAATGGCTACCTAAGCCTTTCCTTAGGAGACAGAGCTTTGATGTGAATCTGGTCTCCTTCACTTGCTCCAGTAAAAACTACCTTGTGCCAGGATAACCACATCCTGTTCTTGAGTAGAGCACCCTGAGTACAGCGCCTCACACGGGAAAACCTTGGGTTTGATCACACAACCATAGCTCCAAAGGCAGAGTCAAGCGGGGGAAACGCGGGAGATGGACAGATGAGACTGCATGAGAGGCAAAAACTTTTGTTACTCCCTAATAATTGGAAAACAAACTCAGATACAAAAATTAGGAAAAGGTATTTGGAGAACATAGGACAAGGTTTCAACACCTAAGTTTATAAAGAGATCTTACACATCAATAAAAGTTGAACATCCAAATGAAAAAGAATGGATGGTGTGCGGGCAAAAATTTCACGGGAGAGAAAAATGGCCAACGCACATGACAAAAAGCTTGCCTTTACAGCAACTGAAGAAACGCTAATTAAAATGAATGCTAATCTTTTACTCCTCAACTTGGCAAAAAGTTAAAAAAAAAAAAAGAAAAAAGCCAAGTGTCAAGTGAGCCGGGTCTGGGAGCAACTCCTTTGGGACTTGGCTGATGGGTGCAGATCCCAACCCCTGGAAGGAGTTTGGTAAATGAATTAAGAGCCTTATGTTGTATATGCATCTGAGGATTTAGCCAAAGGAAATATTATTAACCTGCTGCCAGAATGTCTACACCAGATGTTCAACTCAGAACAGTGAGAGTGGAGACCACCCACGTCTCCCGCTGCGGGGATTGGTGCAGTAGGTCCAGGTTCACCCTGAGATGTCAGCAAGGCCGTCCGAAAATTTTACAACAGCATCTTCACAGAAGGACAGATACACTCCGGGTGAAGTGGCAATCACAGCGTGTTTACAACACAGTCATGACAACAGCTGCAGGTGCCCTGCCTGCCAGGTCCCTGCCGGGGCGGGGGCGGGCGGTGAGCGGCCCGGCCCGCCCGGCCCGTGTTGGAGTACACGGAACGCAGCTGTGTGGACGCTCCTGGCCTGCCTCCCGGCCCAGGCAAGAGGCCCTGCCTTCTGCTTTTCCAGAAGGTCCTGATTTTGAGCATGGCCTGTGTACTACCAGCGCAGGAAGGCACAGTGGCTTGTCTTGGAGAACAGGGACACTGGCTGTGCTGGTGTGTGGCCTGCGCCAGTGGACACACCAACCCTGAGGTGCCCTGCAGGGGTCCAGCGCCCAGCGTCCTCTGTGGGGGGGAGGGGACAGAGGCAGCCGACCAGGGACATTTTACCTGTCCTTGTGACGCTCCAGCCAGGACCGCCCCTGCACACCAGGCACAGATGCCCTGCTGCCCACTCGGCCTGCCACACCCCAGCCAGGCTCTTGTGCTCCAACCAGCTTCTCCTGTGCCCTCCACCCCCATTTTAACTTTAGTTACCAAACCCTCTATTCTTTACTTGCTTTGGCCCCAAATCTTATAACTTAACTGGACTGTTAACTCCACAACCAACCTATCCGTGTACACAAGACATCTGCACTGCGCTGCAGTGTCTCTCAAAACCCACAAAGCCCTGGAAGCAGCTATGGAGGCTCCACTGTGGATCACAAAGCACCTGCCCCACACAGGGTGGGACAGAGCACCCCAGGACTGCCCGAGCAGGGGATGCTACTCCGAGGACGCACACATGCCCTTGTGCTCCCCATGCCGGTGCTTCACACTTCAGCTCACAACGAGCCCTGGCCCGGCCACGCAGCCCTGCCCCACAGGGTGAGGGGTTAGCGGGGCAGCCGCAGAGCCAGGCTGCAGCTTCGACCGTGTATTCTGCCCAAGCCCCTCACTGTGGGTGGTAACAAGGAGGGCCAGGCTTGGCTGTGCTTGGCCGCGCTGCATGAGTCCACCCCACCTCTGCCCCGCGAGGAACCTGGAAGGCCTGCGCTCTGGGGGCCCCAGCGGTTTGTGCAGCCGCAGGGGAGCTGACCTCCAGGCCAGCACAGACGACAGTGGGCGCCTAAGGGACGTCTGCTCAGTTACAGCCCCATGAGGAAGGTGGCCATCGCCGCCTCACAGGTGGGGAGACTAGGCATGGCAGAGCCGGGTGATACACCGGAGCCACCAGCCGGAAGGCGGCAGGGGAACTGCGCCGGGCCCCGGTGCACGGGAGCAGCGTGTCCCAGCACGGCTCCGTCTGCAGACACTCGCCATCACCACCACCAGCGGCACTGCTGCTGAGCACGGGCTCTGCGCCCGCATTCCTGACCACAGCGGGCACTCGGGACGACAGGGAAGCAATCATTATCATCCCCACTTTAACACGGGGAAACGAGCTCAGAGAGGTGGCTGGCATGCCCCATGCCCACGATAGAGAGGGGGCAGCTGGCAACAGGTGCAACTTAAGATTCCTACAGTAACAGAATAAGAGGTAGATTTGGGGGCACTCCAGCCTACTACAGGTGTATGGGAATTTGCAACAGAGAGTGTCCCTCCCATATAAACAGCATTCACATGTTAATAAGACACAGCAAAATTCACAACAGAGCCCTGGTCGGGTGGCTCAGTTGGGTACGTCATCCTGTGCACCAAAAGCCTGCGGGCTTGGTTCCCGGTCAGGGCACACACCTAGGTTGCAGGTTCGATCCTCAGTCGGGGCACATACAGGAGGCAACCAAATGATGTTTCTCTCTTTCTCTGTCTCCCTTCCTCTCTCTCTAAAATCCATGAGCAGCTTGGTCAGTGTCGCTCACTGGTTAGAGTAACGGCCCATGGAACAAAGGGTGGCGGGTTCGATTTCCAGTCAAGGGCACGTACCTGGGCTGCAGGTTCAAACCCTGGCCCCAGGAGGGGCGCATGCAGGAGGCAGGCAATCGATGTGTCTGTCTCACATCCATGTTTCTCTCTCCCCCTCCCCCTCCCACTCTCTCTTTGGGTTAGGATGAAAAAAATTCACAACAAAAGAAAGGTTAAGTTAGGAAAAAAGGTAAACAGCCCCAAACAAGGGTGCAGGATAATTACTTAAGAAAATTAAATAAACAACATCCAAATCAGAAAGGAAGAAGCAAAACTTCTCTATTAGATAACATGGTCTTATGTCTGGAAAATCCCCAGGAACCTGCTGAAAATCTATGGGAACTAATCAGCGAGTCCAGCAAGGTTGCAGGGCACAAGGTCAACGTGCGAAAGCCGGTGGCATTTCAGTACAGCGCCAGGAACAAACTGAAAATGAAATTAAGAAAACAATTCCACTGACAAGAGCATCAAGAAAAATATATTACTTATACTTTTTAGAAATAAATTTAACAAAAGAAGTACAAAACTTAAAACTCTGAAAACAACATAACGTTGTTAAGGAAATTAAAGACCTAAATATGGGAACATGCCCACGCTCAGGGCTCGGAAGATGGCAACACTCTGGTTCTGCTGATGCTCAGATTCAACACCACCCCTAGCAGAGGCCCAGCGGCTACCTTTGCAGAAATTTTCCTAAAATTCACAGGGAAATGCAAAAGACCTAGAATAGCCAAAACAAAAATCAGCTTGAAAAAGAAGAACAAAGTTGGAGGGCTCACACTTCCGTATTTCAAAACCTACCACAGAGTATGGGGGTTGAAACAGAGTGGTCCTGGCAGAGAGACAGACAGGCGGCGAACAGAACAGACCTCACTACAGCCACACGACCTCTGACGAGGGTGCCAGGGCAACTCAGTGGGCAGGGGACTGGTTTCCAGCAACCGTGCTGGGACATGCAAAAGAATAAAGTTGGACGGTTCCTCACATCATATACAGAAATTAACTAAAAATGAGTCAAAGACAGAAATATGAAAGCTAAAACTCTTAGAAGAAAGCATAGGGATAAGTCTTCCTGACCTTGGATTAGGCAATGGTTCTTTAGATATACCAATAGCCAAACCACACAAAAAAAATAAACTGGATTTCATGAAATTAAAAACATTTGTACTTCAAAGGACACGATCAAGAAAGTAAAAAGGTTTGCAAATCATATATCTGATAAGGAACTTATATCTGGAATGTATAAATTATTACAACTGAATTATAAAAACACACATAACCCAATTTTTAAATGGCCAACATTGCTGAATGGACATTTCTCTGAAGGTTTACCAATGGACACCAATACCCACATAAAAAGATGCTCAACATCATCAGCTTCAGAGAAATGCAACTCGAATTCTCAGGGAGGACCCTGCCGAGCCAGCTACACACAAAAGACCAAGGATGTGCTGAGACTGGAGCCTCGCAGGTGGTGGGGTGGGAAGGCAAACTGGGGCAGCTGCTTAGACAATTTCTCCAACAGTTACACGGGCATTACCACAGAACACAGCAACCCCTCCTAGAAATACAAGCAAAAGAAATGAAAACACATGTCCACACAAAAACTTGTACACAAATGTTCCCAGCAGCATCATTCACAGTAGCCAAGAAGTAGAAACAACCCAAATGTCCAGCAACAGATTAAAATACAATCCATCCACACAATGGAATATTATTTGGCAATGAAAAGGAATGAGGCGCTGACACACACTACACTGTGGAGGAAACTTCCAATTGCTACGGCCAGTGCATGAAGCCAGTCACAGAAGACCACACAGTGCATGGTCCTGCTTATGGGAAATGTCCAGAAAAGGTGAATCCACAGAGACAGACAGTTGCT